GGAAACGACTCGATGGCACTTAACAGCAACAACAACAGGTTATAATTTATATATATGTTTTAGTTCCTGAATAGATATAGTGAATGGAGACCTAGAGAGAAAAACAGTAACATTTAACAAGTATCATCCCTGGGTGTTAGAATATAATTGATTTTAATTTTCGTTTACTTTTTAGAATTCTCAAACTTTTTCTACAAAAAACAGAGATTACTTTTGCACCGAGTGCAGTGTTGCTGTTCTAGGTGGTGCCGAGCTGGTTCTAACCTCCGGTGACCTTGTGTACAGCAGAGGGAATGCCGCCCGGTCCTGGCGTCCTCACAATCATTGCTGCGCCTGACCCCTCTGTTGCAGCCACCGGGCCAGTCCACCTCATTGAGAGGCTTCCCCTCTTTCACTAACCCTTCACTTTACCAAGCATAATACTCTTCTCCAAGGATCAGTGCTCCTGGTAACACGTCCAAAGTAAGTGAGGCAAAGTCTTGCCATCCTCACTTGTAAGGAGCTTTTCTGGCTGTATTCTTCCAAGACAGATTTGTTTGTTCTTCTGGGAGTCCATGTATGTATATTCAATAGTCTTCAGCAACACTATGATTCAAAGGTATCAATTCTTCTTTGGTCTTCCTCGTTCACTGTCCAGCTTTCGTATGCATATGAGCCAACTGAACATGCTATAGCTTGGCTCAGGCACCCCATATCTTCAAGGTGACGTCTTTGTCTTTTAACACTTTAAAGAAGTCTGTTGCAGCAGATTTGCCCAATGCAATACATGGTTTGATTCCTGACGGCTTCTTCTATGTGCGTTGATAGTAGATCCAAGTAAAATGAAATCCTTGGCAACATCAATATTTTCTCCATTTATCGTGAAGTTGCTTATTGGTCCAGTTGTGAACATTTCTTTATATTGCAGTGTAACCCATACTGAAACCTGCAGTCTGTGAGCTTCATCATTAAGTGCTTCGAGGCATCTTCACTTGCGGCAAGCAAGGTTGTGTCGTCTGCGTATCCCAGGTTGTTAATGAGTCTTCCTCCAATCCTGATGCTGCATTCTTCACATGGCCCAGCTTCTTGGATTATTTGCTCAGCACACAGATGGAATAACTCCAACTTTTCACTACAGATAAGTACTGTTTATTAAAAAAAAGTGAATTACATATAAGCACAGATTCTAATTTATCCCCCTGTGTATCCTGTACAATTTATATATCAGAACAGGGTGGATTAATTGGCAATCACACTCTTTTTTGTTTTTGTTATTTTTATAAAAAACGAGATTTTTATAAAGTGCTATAAAGTAGAAGAGATGACAAACATTGTGGATGGTATCATTCACCCAAAGAGAAATAAAGACCAACCACTCTGAACTAAGCACCGTGTGGTAACATGAGCTGGGAGGGACTGAGCAAGTGGGACTATTCTCACACAAGATAAAGCTCAAAGAACCTCCAGCCCTGGGTTCAATTCTACTGGGTCCAAGGAAAGTATTATAAAATCATGGGTCTGTCAACAGCCTTTCTTATGCTGTTAAACTCTGCTTAGTCTAGACAAAGTATGATTCTAACTTGGAACAGTTCTGGAACCCTGAACTCCTTAAGGAAGGTATCATAACCCTGGAATCATTGAGTACTAGTATTGCTGCTGCTGCCACTATTGCTCACCCCTCCCCCGCCCCCAGTAACATGATTAGCAAAGCAATTAAAGCAATAGGGGTAGCCAATTTGTAATGAGCACGGGTTATGTATCAGGCACTGTATTAAACTATATATATTAACTCATTTAATCCTCACAATTCTGCTTGTGTGTGCGCACACGTGTGTGGTGTGTGCAGGAGGGTGGAACGGGGCAGCAGGGGAGAGAAGTTGAGCACACCTTCCTAGGTGATGATTAATGTCTTGGGAATTATCTGGAGTAATCACATGATCCAGTGACAGTTGAGAAACAGGTTTGGGAAAAAGGACAGAAAGCCAGAGGCTCCCAGGGCCTCCCAACTGGGCCTAGTCAGGATTGGTAACACTGCCTTTTACAGCCTACTGAGATTACATGGGGAGCTCTGGTGGCGTAGTGCCTAAGGCATCTGACTGCTAACCAGAAGGCTGGCAGTTCAAACCCACCAGCCACTCCTCGGAAGAAAGGTTGGGCAATCTACTTCCGTAGTGATACTGCCTCAGAAAGCCAAGGAGGGGTCGCTATGAGTCGGGTCCGACTCAATGGCAGCGAGTTTGGTGTTTTTGGTTTTAAGATTACATGCATTATGTGATTGTCCAGCAGACTTCTGCCTCCTTTAGGGCCCAAAGTACCCCAGTATGTCTTTCATTTACCCTCTTTTATACCTAAAAAATTATTCCCTTGATTTATGCTAGTGACTGGGCAACAACCTTATACCACTCTTCACCCAGATCATCCTGAGCCTGCATTCTGCTTCTCTCTCTTACTATATTTTTCAGATATGACAAATTCCCGCATATAACACACACAGCAAACACAGGAAACTAATGTGTGAGGGGTTATGTGGCTACCACGTAACTTGTGCTCTATTTGTGTAAAAATCTGGTGATAATTCACTGACGTTGGGGAATATATTTATTCTTCTGAGCCTCTATTTCCTTACCTGTGAAACTGCTTATCACCTCTTTTACAAGTTGTTGTAAGGTTACTGAACATGTATATAAAGCACCTAACTCAGTATGCCCTCACATCTTTATCATTAATTCAGTCCTTACCAATAATAAATTCGTATCATTAAGAAAATACATTTGTTTTTCATAAATCTTATAAATTATTTATTAAGGCACTAAACACTTCTGATGTGGCCATAAAGCAGGATTACAATACTAATATTTAATTTTCATTTGAAAAACAAAAAAGTATCTAAATAGGAGTATTCATGACTGTTAGGTCATTAGCCTTACAAAGAACTAACAGGCCTCCAGATGTACCAGGAAAATCAGAACAGGGTTGCAAGAATTTTACAGTGACTACAACAGAATAACACTGTATATTTTTTAGCCTGTATACAAGGTTTGGAAAATTCTACTTCAAGAAAATCTAAAAAATAGTTTTAAATAGTATTCTCAGAGATACACACTCATGCACATATATACACATCTAAATCGTAGCCTGCCTCCACCGTCTTAGAAGATATTAAATTTAATTCTCTGCTCACTTCACATGCACAAATACACAGACACACATACATGCACATGTGCACACAATGTTAAGAGTAACTTACAGACCCTAGATTCAGATTCTGTTAACATTCACTGGGTGTCAGGGTACAGGGCACTGTCAAATTTACACCTTATTCGATCCTTACGACAACTCTGTGAGATAGGTGTCAGCCACAGATGACAACACTGAGCTCTGGCAGACCAACTGCCTGGCTCCAGAGAGCTCGTAGATGCCAGGGCATGGATACAAGCCAAGTCCTAATTCTGAGTTTCAGCCTGTTCCCATTCTGCTCCATTCTCAAAGTATT